CCCCTCAAGTGGGAATGTGGGGATTAAAGCACATTCCCAACTTGGACAGAAATTTCTGGAAATCAGCACGGCCAAGGGATTTAGTGAACATGTCAGCAGGCTGAAGAGATGAAACAATGTGTTGAGGCAACAAGAAACCATCTTTGTACAAATTGCGCACCACATGACAATCAATGTCAAGATGTTTCGTACGCTCATGAAAAACCGGATTTGCAGTGATATGAAGGGCAACACGATTATCACACCACAAGGGAATTGGAGAGTGAAGAGACAGAGATAGATCACCCCCTAAGTAAGCAAGCCACTGGAGTTCACATGCGGTAGTTGCCATAGATCTATACTCTGCTTCTGCAGAAGAGCGAGAAACTGTCTTCTGCTTCTTGGTTTTCCAAGAAATCAAGGCTTGGCCAAGAAAAACACAATAGCTAGTGAGGGATTTTCTAGTTAGAGCACAACTCCCCCAGTCTGCATCACAGAAAGCTTCCAATTGGTTGGAGGGACTTGCAACATAGTAGAGACCGAGGGAAGGAGTTCCTTTTAAGTACTTGAGCAAGTGGATGGCAGCTGCCCAATGAGCCTGTGTAGGGGTTTGAACAAACTGGCTAAGCTGCTGAATCCCATAGGAGATGTTTGCCCTTGACAGATTCAAGTATAATAGTCTCCCAATAAGCCTTCTATATACTGAAGAGTCTGGAAGTGTAGGAGACTCTTGTGAGGAAAGGTTTATACCAGAGGGAAAAGGAGTGGCAGATGGCTTGCAATCACTCAACCCAAGGTCATGTAACAAGTCCAGTATGTACTTTCTCTGTGTGAGATATGTACCTTGTCCAGTGTTGTAAATTTCTAGTCCCAAGAAGTATTTTGCAGGTCCCAAATCTTTGATTGTAAAAAGATTATGAAGATATTCTTTGAGACTTTGTATAGCAGCTAAAGAATTCCCAGCAGTAAGAACATCATCAACATATATCAGTAAGGCTAGAGTTGTAGAACCAGTGTGCTTGATAAACATGCAGTGATCATGCTTAGACTGGATAAAACCATAACCAAGTAACTTGTCTGAAAATTCTATGTTCCATTGTCTAGAGGCTTGTTTCAGACCATAGAGACTCCTCTTTAGCAAGCACACTTCACCTTTGGCAGCTTTTGTGTACCCTTTAGGTGGCACCATGTACACCTCTTCTTCCAAAAAACCATGAAGGAATGCATTATTTATATCAATATGGTGTAGTTCCCACTTTCTTTGTGTGGCCAAGGCTATAAGTAATCTCACAGAAACCAGTTTGGCCACTGGAGAGAAACTATCAAAGAAATCAATTCCTTCTTTCTGTAGATACCCCTTTGCCACTAACCTTGCCTTGAATTTATCTACACTTCCATCTGGGTTCCTTTTGATTTTATATATCCATCTACAGCCAATAGCCTTTTTTCCAGCAGGCAACTGTGTGAGTTCCCAAGTGTTATTCACTTCAAGGGCTTCCAACTCTTTATTCATAGATGTAATCCATTTACCATCTTGTGCTGCTTGTTCATAGTGCAGGTTCTGACATAGATTTTCCAACCTCAGTGAAGAACAAGGTTGCATCCTCATTCTCATTATCAGAAGAAAGGCAATCAACTATGTAGTCTTTCATCCATGCTGGTCTCCTCTTGACTCTTTTCCCTTGAATATCTCCTTGTGTGGGATCAGTTATTGTACTTTCTGATCTGAGGTGATCAAGGACATTTTGTGGGCTAGGTTCTCCCACTTCTTCTGCTGGTCCGTCAAGTAATGTAGGCATGACCAGACCAGGTTCACTTGACTCGTGTTTTGTTGTCTCTCTTGAAAAAGGAAACTCATTTTCATGGAAATACACATCTCTTGAAATAAACACCTCCTTTGCTTATAAGTCATACAACCTGTATCCTTTCACTCCAGAAATGTACCCCAAGAAAACACAGGCCACTGCTCTTTCATCAAATTTCTTCCTGTGTGGGTTGTTTCTTTTTGCATAGGATAAGCATCCAAAAACTCTAAACATACTGTAAGTGGGCAACTCACCATGCAGTATCTCATAAGGGCTTTTCCATCCCAATTTCTCACAAGGAAGTGTATTGATGATTTGGACTGCAGCCAACAAACTGTAAAGCCAAAGATCCTTTTGCAAGTTTGACTGAAATGAAATAGATCTTGCCACTTCCAAAATCACTCTATGTTTCCTTTCAACCACTCCATTTTGTTGTGGAGTATATGGACAAGATTTTTGATGGATCATTCCTTTATCTCTAAACAGTTCAGCCACATCTTTGTTTATGAATTCTGTCTCATTATCTGTTCTAACCCTTTTACCTTCTCCTCAAACTGAACTTCCACCATGTTTAGAAAGAATTTGATGTGCTCATATGTCTCAGACTTGTATTTCATAAGAAAGATCAAAGTTGCCCTTGAGTAATCATCCACAATAGTCAACATGTAAGCAGTATTGGTCTTGGATCTCTCAAGATATGGTCCCCAAACATCTACATGAATCAGATCAAACCTCCTTTTGCTTTGTATGTGGCTGAGGGGAAAAGACTGCCTGCATTGTTTTGATTTGTGGCAAATGTCACAGAAACTCAGCTTTTGATCTGAGCAAACACCTTTAAGGAAACTGAGGTGTCTGAGAGCATTGATAGAGCTGTGTCCCAGCCTTTTATGCCAAAGGTCCATTTCTTTGCTCAAACACTGCACATTTTCTATAGCATTAGCAAAATACTCTTGTCCTTCTATGACATATAAACCTGCCATAATCTTCCCTTCAACTATCACAGCATTATGAGCAATATCAAGAAGCTTGCAACCCTTACTTGTGAAGCTAAAACTCAAACCATTGTCTTCTATCAGCTGTCCCACAGAAAGAAGATTATATTTGAATTCAGGCACCAACAAGACATTTTTAAGCAGTATTTTGTCATTCAATTGCACTTCACCAACTTTAGTTACTTCAAACTTTGTACCATCAGGCAAGTTGACTGTCACTGGTATTGATGTATCTGCACTATAAGTTACCAAATCAAGATTTGAACAAATGTGTTTACTGGCTCCAGTATCCACTATCCAGCTCCCTCTATTCAATGTGTTAAACAAAGAGAAGACATAGCCTTCTGTTTGATTTGAAGACTCCACCAGATGTGAAAAGGTATGTGTTTCAGCTTCCTGTTGCATTGACATATATTTTGCAACTTCTCTGGCCAAAGCACTTATGTCTGTTGAACTGTCACTATGTTGTGACTTTACTTCTGAGTCTATCTTTGAAAGATCATCTCCTTCCACCATATTAATGTTCTGTCCTTGCCTTTGCTGCCTGAGTTCCTTGTACCATTCTGGGTATCCATTAAGTTTAAAACACCCTTGGACATCATGTCTATTGTATCCACAGTGTGTGCAGAATAATTTTGCTCTTTCTTCTTTGGACAGTCTAGGTGCACCCCTACCTCTCCCAGCATTATTATAAAACTGCCCTCCTTGTCCTCTTCCATTATTTCCACGGCCAAAGTTTGAACCTCTGCCAAAATTTCCCTTAACCAACATTGCTGAAGTTTCAAGTGGACTCAACATACCTGTCACCACATTCTTTTGCTTCTCCACTTTCAAGATCATAGAGTATGCCTTGTTAACTGTTGGCAGAGGATCCATTAAGAGAATTTGGTTCTTTACTGGCTCAAATAATTCATTCAGACCCATAAGGAATTGGATGAGTTTGATTTCCATGTCATTTTCAGAGATAGCTTTGCTTGAGCCACACACACATTCAGGTAATGAAATAAGACATGTATACTCATCCCACATACACTTTACTTTGGTGAAATATGCGGTAACAGAAAGAGTTCCTTGAGAAAAATTGGCTATCTCCCTCTGCAATTGATATTTAAGAGGACCATTGCTATCACCATACCTCTCAGCTAGCTCATCCCACAATTGTTTTGCAGATTTAACATATATGAAGGCCTCAACAATATCTTTCGAAATTGAATTTAACAACCAAGATATGACCATAGATTCTACCTTCTGGTACTGTGTGTAGTCATCTGTGTTCTGCTCTGGAATTTCGACCGTTCCATTGATGAAACCGAGTTTGGACTTTGCGCTGAGAGCTAGCTTCATTGCTCGGCTCCAGTGTGAGTAATTTACGCCGGTGAGCTGATTTGTGACCAATATTAACCCAGGACTGTCAGATCCATGAAGAGCCAACGGATCGATATCTCTCGCGTATGTGCTACGTACAATTTCTCTCCCATGCTCGTCTCTGTTATGTGCCATTGATTATGAACAAAATCGACCAATTAACCCGCTCTAGATACCATGTAGAAATGTGTATACGAAAAATTGAAGAATCGAAAACAATATCAAAAGTAAAGGCAGATCGCCATTTTCGCCAAGCTTACACAATTTTCATTCAAATCTAGAAAATCTGTTTTGAGGAAGATGAACATATTGGGAATAAAAGGAATTCCCTCAGCTCACACATGTTCAATTACAATGGCACACGTGCCAGACTACTGGAATAAAAGAACAGAAAATAAAACGCACAACCTCACTAATAAAAACGTTAGCACGCTTAACAACTAAACAAAACAAACATGCACGCAATAATTCCGCCTTGAGCTTCAATATTTCAACATTATTAATATATGACGGTCTAATTATAGTCTAAGTATTATTTCAACTGATGAATAAATTTTCGAAAATGTTAATAAACACTCACAGTCTCCAAACGCAGTTCAAGTGAGTCTCACCCATATCACCTCTTAAAACAGGGAAATCAACAAAGAAAATACAGTAATAAAGTAGACAAAATTACCATGCATATCTAATTAATTTAACGTGTAAAAAGAGAAAAACTACTTGTGAATTTTTATAAGATCTCTGCCTAATTTCAAACATGATAATTTAATTTAATACAAAAAATACACCTCAAATTGGAAATTTACACCATCAGAAATGATTATCGCAAAATTAGATTTTACTCATAAAAACAGGGAATCAACACAAAATTTCGTTAAAATCAATATAATGATCACGATCATATTAAATAAAATTACATAAATAAAATAACAGCCCCAAATTAAACATCCATTGTCCCTCTATTAATTTAATGCACACGCACAAATCAATTACCATGGAAAAAGCAGCTCGATCGAGATGAAAATTCTCGCAGTACCACCGAACCACCACCGACATGAATAAACAAATAATTTAAAAAAGAAAGTGATAGGGATTATGTACCTATCCAGCCTGATTAAGCTAAGGCCCATAACATCAAGTCGGGTGAACCGAGTTTGAGGGTCTTGGCCCATCGACCCATTGACCCATTGACCCATCGACCCATAAGGTCTCGACCCATAAGACCCACATGATCGACCCTCGTAAGGGTCTCGACCCATCCGATTGAGCTAAGAATCATAATGTTAAGCTGGACGAACTGAGACTTAGGGTCTCAACCCATCGACCCATAGGGTCTCGACCCATAAGACTCATAAGGTCGACCCTTACAAAGGGTCTCGACGCATCGACCTACGCAGGGCCTTGACCCCTTGGCCTAACGGCCAACACACGGGGCGCCACTCACAAGAAGTCGACCCATAAGGTATCGAACCGGGAGGGTTCGACCCGTAGAAACGGTAACTACCACGCAGTCCATACTATTAGACATTATATATACGATAAATTCTGGAGTAGAAGGTGAGACTTCATTTAATATCCTACTACAACATTTATTACGAAGAATTCTCTCTAAATCCCAGATCCTAACTTGGGCGTCCGAGGGCTTGCCCAATGGCACGCCAGCCAGTCACCATGCTCGCCAGCGTGCGCGTGCAAGTCCTAGTACCTGCTGCGGCGCGCGGCAGCGCCCAACAGCGCCAGTCGTGCCTGCGCCCTCGCATATAGCGCGGGGCAGCGCCCAGCTCGACCCTGCGTGACGCCAGGCGCATGCACGCGTCTCGGTCGACCCTCAATCGCGTCCAGTCGGCCGCCAGATGTTCCAGTCAAGCTCAGTGGCCAGCTTGTGCGCGCCAGTACGCATGCCCGTGGCAGGGACTGCCCAGCCGCAGTCAGCACGACCAGTCCAGTTCAGCCGTGCCCGTAGCCAGCCAGGCAGCACCTGCGCACGCAGCCTCGGCAGGCCTGCTGGCCGAGCCAGTGCCCGACCGTCCGATTCAGCAGACCGGCGGTCCGGTCCAGACCGGTTCAGCCCGGGTTAGACCGGCTGGACCGGTTCAGTCCATATTTCGTTGTTTTAGTCCCGGTTCTTGATTTCAGTACCATTTTCAGTTAAAAAATTTCGGGGTCCATTTTAGTTCAGTAAAATTATATCAGTTCAGTTCCGCATTTAACCGGTTCCAGTTATACTGATTAAATCCGAATATCATGTCGAGTCTAATAGAGCATCTTAACATAATTAATCAGTTAATTTATCAGTCTGAGCATAGTCCTTAGTAAGTGTTTATATTATATTTCAGTTTGATCAGGCATCATCACTACCTTCATTTTCACGGATCAGGTGGGGAATCAGACTAAGTACTACATTGATTATAATTACGCTACCATGTTTGAGGTATGTATTATCAGTA